ATCGCTTATCACGGCCTCTCATCTCTATAGAGTCGAAAGGTAAGAGGCAAAGTATGAACTAATGTACGTGGTGGATTTACGGAAGCGACAGTTGGAGTGTTGTGATCGTATTGAGCTAAAAGGTTTAAAATTCGTGTCAACTTCCGACGTTGTGAATTTACTGGAATTTAGGATGCACCACAGTTTTATTTACCATCCCCCCTCCCATTCTTTGGCTGAGCATTCTGACTTTCGAAAAAAACTTTGTTCTCTACCTGCATTTATTATGTCGTGCTATAGTTTGCAAATTTGTAAGAACTTGACAAAAACTGGTCCCCACCTGCAGCTCATATCTATTCTGATTTCTCGCGATATAATTTTGCTACTTTCTTCTTCCTTATCTCTTTTATCATTTTGTGCTGCAAAGATTCTAGAATTCTGATCCTGCTCCAGCAAAAAGCCCTTTGTTGTTGATTTTACTTCTGTACTTCTTTCTTGTCTAAATTATTCGTAACTTCTCCAGCTCCCCAAAAACATCCATTTCACAAAATTTCTTTACTCCATGTCCTAAAACTCTATTTTTGGAAAACGTATGCCTCTACAGCTTGACCTATTTCTTTTACTAACATGTTCTTTCCTCTGCTACACTCATCTAAGCAGTAAGGCCTGCTCTAAAATCCTTTTGAGTGACGGCGAGCGTACAGCCTAGGCATGATGTGAATTTCCAAACCATTTAATACAATTCACTTGATGTCGTGAAATCTAACACTTTAGAAAATTTGTACGAAACTCTCGCTAATATAGCTCTCGTCCGAAACACCCCATCATATTTAGGCATCGTGGTATCAACTTCTTTTTGCCAGCATTCTCCACTTTATGGTTGCAAGAGGAAGATGTGGGGCAGGATAAGCTGATTTCGGATCTGGTGGTATGTTTTTTTGGTAAGAATAATGACAGATGACTCTAATGTGGCATTCTAGGCACAGTTTTGAAGTTTATATGTTCAGAAATTCAAAGCTGGGAATAGAACAATTTTTTAGCATCTAGACATAGTCAAACATTTTTTTATTTAGTCTGGAATGCAAGAAGAAGACGCGCCTCGTGTTGAAATCGTGATAGAAGAGGGAGTTCTTGTTCAGGATGAGAACAAAGATAATGAGTGAGAATTATAAATGTCTGTTTTTTGAATTTTATTCTTTTTTTCTTGTAATCAGATGTCCCGATCCGCTAAAACAACTGATCCGCTGCTTCCAACGTGCTGCCACAAGCGAGGAGAGTCAAGCGCAAACGATTCACGACGACAATCTGTGAGTATAGGAGTTTCTAGACTTTTTCAAAATTAAAGATCGTTCAATGGGGAAGTTTGAAGGACTTGTAGTCTTGAAAATATTTATTTCCACCTAATTTTGTAATATTTAGGTACATACGCTTTGCTGACGTTATGGCTCAGTCGATCCACATCGAAGAAGAAGATGACGATGATGGAGATGATGTAGAAATAGATCAGGCGGTGAGCTGTTCTGAATGTCGCAAGAAAATTT